TTAGCCATCTTGAGCAGGGATATCAGCAGGTTTCAGAGAACTAAACAGTATACACAGCACAGCAACATGCCATTTAGCTAAACTGGTTATGCTTGTGTTTATACTCCATCCAGCCTACTTCATCCAATCCTATCTGCATCACCTTCTGTTCCTTACTTTCTCTTTTGTGCATGATTAGCTTATATTTTACATGGCAGCTTCTTAAGAAAAACAGTTGAAAGGTTTTCAGTACTGCCTGTAATGATGTTAAGAGAAAATCATTGTCTTTTGGGCTGCATTGTGCAAAGTGCCAACATGCCAACTAACTTCCTGTTTTATGTTGTGGGTACTGCGATGTCAGCTTCTTGGTGACATAATTATTCTACCACATTTGGCAGCAGCATGGTTTTTTTTTGTTTGCCAAGTTAAAGTTACATATTAAAAGTGACAAAGTTAAATTCTTCCACAAAGTGACCATTAAAACAAAACAACTGAGGTGCTCGAAATCTGACATTCAAATGGAAATTACTGGAAGAATCAGCAGGTCTGACAGTAGCTGTGAGGAAAAATGAATTAACAATTCATGTTGTGACCATTTATCAAAATTAAATCCTGATCACATTGCCAGACTAACAAGCAACGATGAACACTGAATGAATTCTGCTGTTCTGTTATTGTTTAAGTGTAAGGAAGTAGAACTGTCTCATAAGCTGAACAGAGAGTGTTATGTCACAATTTGTTTTTCAGTTCTGATAAAGCACAATTCATGCAGGACTGCGAACGTTCTTATTCTATCTGGACTTTTTCCGGGGGTTTTCGAACTTGGGTCAAGATGTCTCTGGTGAAAACGACAGAGGAAGATGGAAGTGAATCGGTGGAATTCAGACAAGAGGTAATGAGGGCATTGGGCTCATGACTTGATTAGACATGTAGAGTAGGAATGTCACAATTAGCATTGTAAGAATGCCATGGTATTATTGAATTGTGCTCCATGTTTTGCTACATCAAACATATGTGAGAATGATTTCTTGGCTTTGTCAGTGAAACGTAATTGCAATTAACCTCCTTTCAGTTTGGAGTTAGCGATTCTAATGCCATCTGACATTTTCCTACTTGTGAATCAAACAAGCAATTAAGAGAGTTGTCAATTTGTTTTATTCACTCGTCGGACATGGGTATCACTGAGTGGAACAGCATTTATTGCTCGGCCCTAGTTGCCTTGAGAAGGTGATGGTGAGCTGCCTTCTTGAACCACTGCAGTCAACCTGTTGTGAGTCTACCCACAATGCCATTAGAGAGGGAATTCCAAGATTTTGATCCTGTGACAGTGAAGGAACAGCAATATATTTCCAAACCAGGATGGTGAGTAGCTTGGAGAGGAACTTGCAGGTGGTGGTGTTCCCATAAATCTGCCGCCCTTGTCCTTCTAGATGGAAGTGATCGTGGGTTTGGAAGGTGCTGTTTAACTTGATACCTCATTGTTAAGTTGAGTTCAAATTCTTGAAACTAAATCAAAAATGTTTCACATCTTATGACACCCACACTTCAAAATATCCCATAACAATTAAATGACTACAGAGAGAGCTGATAATGTAGTTGTGGGAAGAATTGGGCAAGATCATGGTCCATGACTACTTTTACCTTTGTAAGGTGGCCTTTCAATCAAAAAGGTTTAAGAACTTTTACCAGCCGTGGCATAGATTATAATAGTTGGGAGGTCAAGTCAGAACTGTGCAGAACTTTGGTTAGGCCACAGCTGGAATACTGTGTGCGGTTCTGGTCACCATACTATCAGAAGGATATGATTACACTGGAGGGAGTGCTCATGAGATTCACCAGGATGTTACCTGGAATGGAGCATTTCAACCATGAAGAGAGGCTGGATAAGCTCGTGTTGTTTTCTTTGAGGGAGAGAAATTTGAGAGGATCTGTCACCACACTATAGGAAGGACGTGGAGGCTTTGGTGAGGGAACAGTAGAGTTTTACTAGGATGTTGCCTGGATTGGAGTGTATTAGCTATAAGGAGAAGTTGGACAAACGTGGATTGTTTTCACTAGAGTGTCAGAGGCTGAGGGGCGACCTGATAAAAGCATATAAAATTGAGAGGCATGGATAAGGTGGATAGTCAGAGTATTTTTCCCAAAATGGAACTGTCAAATACAAGGGGGCATAGGCTTAAGGTGAGAGGGGAAAAGTTTAAAGGAGATATGTGAGGATTTTTTTTTTTTACACAGAGGATGGTAGTTGCCTGGAACATGCTGCCAAGGGAGGTGATAGAAGTAGATACAGTAGCAATATTTAAGAGGCATTTAGTCAGACACATTATCAGGTAGGGAATAGAGAAAGACTAAGCATGTGCAGGCAGATGACATTGTGGTCAACACAGACGTGGTGGGCTGAAGGGCCTCTTCCTCTGCTGTATTGTTCTACTGTCCTATGCTTAACCACGGATCTAGCCTAGGTGCTTATTTTAGAATGAGGCCTGTAACAAAGAGGAAGTGAGAGCGTTACCAACTGAGCAAAGCTGACACTTGTAGGGTTTGTAAACAATTGCAACATTTATAACAGCATTCAGTTGGAACTTAGTGTACTTGTTGCTTCAATTAGGCATCGACATTGAGGATGAATTCCAATACAGCCAGTTGGATTGATGCTGTTCCACCTTGAATATGTTTTGAAACTGCTGTGGGAGTGAGCATATCTTTGATCTTTGCTTCTAAACTACTTTGTCATTGTTCACACAGTCTACTCTGGTGAAATATAATGACCACCGGCCTGTTTCTGAACTTACTGACCAATTGTTCTTTGCTGTGTTTGAGTGGAAGGATCCTTTCATTCAGGAAGTCCGTGATGTAAGTGTCTTCATCATCCACTGCTTGTCTATGTATTTATTTTAATGGGATTGATGTCTAGGAAGAACAATATTGAAACCCTACAGCTTTCCAAAAAGTAGGGAGTGCCTTGCACTGTTTAGTGACCATCTCAAGCGGCATTGGCAATGTTTCCGCCTTTTTACTTGGTTTTGTATTTTTGTAAAATTAGTGATGAGAAAATAACTTTGTATTTTGTTACTAAATGGTTTATAGGAAACCAAGTTGTGTAAACCATCGTGACGTGAGACTGGTATTTGAGATGCGACTCTTCCATATTTGTGAAATACCACTAGTATATTTTCCAGTACTCTATAGAAAGTAAATTACTGCACACATTGAGTACAAATTGGTATTGCTAATTAGAAACCCCAACATACTTAGTAATTGTTTGATTTTTGAATGTTTTCAGATAATCACAGCCAATCCATGGAATACAATCGCTATCCTCTGTGGTGTCTTCTTGGCTTTGTTCAAGGCAGCAGAATTTGCAAAGTTGAGTGTGAAGTGGATGATCAAAATTAAAAAGAGGCAACAAAAGCGCAAGGCTCAGGAATTGAACCAAATGACTTAAACCAAGAACACAATTTATGACCTTTGAAGGGCTGCAGTTCTGATCCTCTAGCTCGCTCCCTGTCAACAGGGTGTGGAACTATGTGTTAGAGATCATTGAAGACTACGCAATTCTTATTCCAGAGATAATTCTTATTTCATTTGTGATTGGTACCAGCTTTTTGAAAAGATACATTACATGCCCTTTAGGGAAGGAAACTGCCATCTTTACCTGGTCTGGCCTACGTGTGACTCCAGACCCACACCAATGTGGTTGACTCGCAACTGCCCTCTGGACAATTGGGGATGGGCAATAAATGCTGCCTCACCAGTTACGCCCTCATCCCGGTAATGAATAAAGGATTACTGTGGCTGTCAGTATTAACAAGAAACATTGCAAATAGATTAGAATCATTAGCTACTTCAGTCTCATGCAGTTTGACTTCCTTCATTCTCAGTCTGTCTACTGAGATATTAGAAAGGCTTAAATGAAAGCTATTTACTAAGATAATATGATCTCCTCTGACAGCAGAATTACTTTCTAATTCTGTCAGTTTTAGGATCGTGTCTCACTATGACTGATGAGATAATGATTTAAGGCACGTATTCCACATGTTCTAGGTGATTCAGAGAAGAGTTTCATAATTCAGTTTAGTAGGTGATATTTATGTAACCGTCATCCTATTTATTGTTGCTTGATCAGTGATTGATTTCAATATCGTAGTTGTGTCTAGCACGCAGCCTTAGGGCAGTGTGAAGTACCTGGAAGCATGATGGTCCTGGTAAAGGTGTTTTTGTTTTTTAAAATAAGGGTTCAATTCCTAAATTACTGTTTTCTGTGCTGCTGTGATCCCTGTATTTGTGTACTGCCATTTGTAGAGAATAGATTTTTCGATTATCTCCAATGACTTCTTGTGTTGCGCAATAAAGTGCGTTGAATTCACATCACTGCCAACATCAAGTAAATAGAACACCTAATCACCACTTCAACGAGCCACTTTACTCATATAATTTGATACAAAAATATCACTGCTAGATCTACTTAAGGAATTGGAATAGCTGTTTTAAGCAATTGTTAGAAAGGGTTATGCGTTCTTTGGTAAAAAGTGTGATATGGTATCACTAATGTAAGTGGCACTAGAGCAGTTGAACTCTGTCAATGTTGTATCCAAGGTTCCACATGTAGTAATCTCAATTTCATATGGCTGATATTATGTGAGATTTGCATTTGTATTCTTCATAGCCGCATATAGTACACTCATGCAGGTTTTAACATTTAATGCAGGTTAGACATTTATTAAATAACATATTATAAATCAGTTCACACGAGTAACTTTTCACATTCTAAATCATGTTCTGCTACTTTGTAAATGGCACTTTGGATCTTAAATATGTGTCAATGGGATATATTTTAGCTTGGATATCAGAAGAGTGCTGTGAGTTGTGCAGAGGGCTTGTTTTCATCTCTTATGCACTGAAGAGAATATTACTGGAATCTGAACTTGAAAGTATGGGCAGTTAGTGTTCATTGCTGTACAGTTATTAACTTGAATTTTGGTAACAGAATTTATTGTGTGGATTGTTTCTCTCCGTGAGATAAGTCTTTAAGAAATGTTGCAAAAGATATGCTCTCAAAGTGAAACTTCTCACGTTGGAAAGAGATGTTCTTCAGTAATATCTATAGGCAGAAAGTCAAAAATATCGTAAACAGCTATAATAATGATTTTATAGAGCCTATAACCACAGTAGAGAGGATGCAAGGACGCTTATCATGACATTATTTGAAGGGCCAATCTCAAGTGTTATTAGCAAAGACCTGGGAACTGGTCTTCAAACCTCTTCGAACAGGGTGTGGCACTAGAAGAACTACAGGTGAAAAGACTAACTCACGGTGGTTAGTAAGCCTCCTGCTGCTGGCAGGTAGAGAGGAAAGGTGTTTAAGCCTGCTTGGAATGGTGTCCCAACTCCACCAAGTGCTCCCAGGAGGTTGCTACCAGGCAAGTAAGCTAATCCCCACCCAGCCAATACCACGACCACCTCTGGAAGCCTGGGACCAACTGGAAAATTGCAGGAGTTAGCCTCCAATAAGTAGGAATTAATAGGCCCATAACTATCATCAAACATTTACACTGCTATCCATTCTCTTCCTAACTCCCATCCTACCTAGAATTAGAATAGAACAAGGAACTGGCACTCCCAGCTGCTGATATGAACTTCAGTTCCCATCTCTCTGCATTTCCAGTTGTGGAAGTGACTTAGAATCCTTCCCTGTTTGTGTCAATCTGGTTCAGGAAATTTGCAGTTGTCCGAGATAAGATTCCACAGTTACCCTGTGTGGGTTGCTACTTGAAGTGAATTTCTAATTACTGCTACTTGCAGTTCAAGAGCCCACAGTGAGTCTAGGGGTAAGTGTAAATGTCATTACCCATCGTCTCTATTTGTTTGCTGCTGATGACAAAATGCTTAAGGCAATAAATTATGAAGTAAATGAGAAAGAACCCAGTATTTTTCAGTATTGTGATTTCAGCATTTTTCTTTTAATTTGAATTTTTGTTTTACAAAGAACTTAACTGTGACATTGAATCTCAACTCCTTAAAAATAGATTGTGGTTTTTCTGTAGCTCCTTATAGATAAGGAGCTTGAAAATCCAAGGGTCTGTGACCCCAGTATACATTGTCGGAACCTCCACCAAAGACCATGTCAGACCTTCTAGGATCAGGTGAGAATTGCACATTTTAAACAATCCTCATGGACTTGCTTAGCAACTTCTAGTTATCTCTGATACCTACTTGTATACAAGAGTGTAAGAGTCTGAAGGAATTAATATTGAGGAGTGCCTTAAGCAGTATTCATATGATGATTCATTCTAATTTGGGATGACACCAGTTTAGAATCTTAGAGGAGTGAGACTACCAACCTGGCCCTTCTCATAGTAATAGCTCTGTAACATGCAATTGGTTGATACGATGCAACAGACTACATCTTGTTTATCACAAACCGCTCTTCTCATTATTCTAGTAAATGGTTTTCATCTACCACACCAGACCCAATGAGCTCTATGGGTCCCTACTATAACAGAGAATGGCAGCAGCGGTAAGCAGGTTGCCTCATGCAGCATAAGGGTCAATTTTGAGAATCATTCCTACCACACCTACCAGTTTGAAAAAGCTTTGAAATGCTGACATGACTTCCTGGACAGATAGAAGGAGGCAGAAGTGGGCCTGTGCCTAGATTAGTGACCAGCTTTCCTCCATCACCTAATCCCACCCATACCTTATTCACTGGGACTCCATCAGTCTACTTTAGAAAGGTAGCAAGAAATGTGTGTGTGCATTTTTCCACAATTACAGGGGAGAAATCAAACCCGGGTCTTCATTGGCTATACTTGTGCTGCTCGAACTGCTGATACCCCCCACCTTTCATCTACGTGAAGTGCGAAACCTCACAACCTTTAAGAAGTACTTGGATGAGCACTTGAAATGTCAGAACAGTCAAGACTATAGGCCTAGTGCAGGAAAGTGTGATTAGAGTGGGTAGTAGTATAGCATAGATTCAACAGGCCAAAGTGCCTCTTCTGTACTGTATGATTCTGATTTCACAGGCCATACTGACAGCTGCTGTGCTGTCAAGCCAGGAATGAAGAAACATCCAACTGGGAAATTCCAAGTCTGCTTTGCTGCGGACATATATGAATTTTACTTGAATGGATGCAGGTTCTGTTTCAAGTGAGGCTCTATAGAAATTGGCAAGGAAGACCAAAACTCAATGGTCTCATTTCTGGGTTTTAACTCATTCTTTCATTCAGTTTGAAGTTGGGTTCATCAGATTACCAATGACGTTCAAGTTCAATGTTTCTACATTTTTAAGTAAAATCTTAGAACACTGGTCAATTTTGTATCTGTACATTGGATGCTTACTTTTCCTGATTATGTGTATTTAATGCACAGAGTACCACAATAGCTTAAGTCTGGTAAGCCCCCTCCTTCTCGCCCTCTCATCCTCTGTTTCTGCCTCTGTGTTTCTCATCTTTTGAAATGAATCAAGATAAATGATCCCCTCTGTTGCCACTCTGTTTCCCATCCTCTGCGTTTCTGGCTCTTTGTGTTTCTGGCCCTCTGCTTCTCAACTTTTCTTTCTACCCCACTGTTTCTCATCCTCTGTTTCTCATCCTCTGACCCCGGCCATTCTGTTTCTCAGCCTCTGTTTCTGACGCTCTGTTTCGCAACCTCTTTTTCTCGCCCGCTCTTTCGGAACTCTGGTTCCTCAACCTGTGTTTCTGAACTCTGGTTCCTGAACCTGTTTTCTGAACTCTGGTTCCTCAACCTGTGTTTCTGAACTGTGGTATCTCACCCTCTGTCTCTCACCCTCTGTCTCTCACCGTCTGTCTCTCACACCCTGTTTGCGGCCCTCTGCTTCTCATCCTCTGTTTCTGCCACTTATTTCAGCCCCACTGTTTCTCGTTTTCTCTTGCTGCCCTGTGATTTTTCATCATCAGTTTCTGCACCTTGGTATCTAGCCCTCTGCTTCGCGCCCTCCGCTTCGCACCCTCTGTTTCTGGACTTGTGTTTCTCACACTTTGTTTCTCACCCTCTGTTCATGCCTCTGTGTTCCTCATCCTCAGTTTCCGGCCCTCTGCTTATCATCCTCTGTTTCTGCCGATTTGTTTCCGCCTATCTGTTTATCTTTGTCTCTTGCTGTCCTGTGTTTACTCACCCTCTGGTTCCCGCCCTCTGGTTCCCGCCCTCTGGTTCCCGCCCTC